ACAGGAATGAATTTACCTCCTCCTTCACCAAGAACATTGAAAATGAAGTATGTACTTCCTCAACTCTGTCTCCACCCCACCACCCTAAAGTCAGCCAGCCAAGTAGCAAAACACTATAGAGTTATTGATCCAAATGCTTTCTTGAAATACCTTCCCAAATGTTTCATAAGTACCTCAGGCTACATTTAATTTCTCCCACATTCCCAATCCTTCCTCTTTGTATTATTTATGCCCCCATAATTCTGCCAGTCATTCCCACTACCTTTTCCCTTCACTTTTCACATTCAAACAGTCTCCAGGTTCTACCAATTTTAAATCCTAAATATGGTTTTTAAACCATCTCTCTTCATTTCGTATGACTGCTTCTCCATCCCAGACCTTTATCAGCTCTCCTCAGAGCTGTTTCAGCAGCCTTCAGACTCATCCAACTTCTTATAGTCCATTTTCTAAGTGGCATCGTTCCGGGAGAGTTTTTTATAAATTCAAGTTGAATTATGCCATTTCCCCCTTAGTACCTTCCAGTGACTCTGCCTTGCCTACAAAATAGAGCTCAAGCCCCTTTATATGAGAAACCAAACCTTTCATGAAGTAACCTGTCCCTGTCTCTCCTGCCTCACCTTCACTTCTCAAAATATATGATGTTTTTCTTGTTTGTATATTTGCTCATAGTGTTTTTTCTGCTTAGAACATCCTTCCATCCTTCCTTATCCCCTGCTTATCCGCCAAGGTTTAGTTTGAATGCTTCCAGAATTTCCCCTCAGTAATACAGATAGGTGCCCTGCCTTTGTGTTCCCATTAACACCCTGTGTATCCTGAATCATAGCATGTATCATACAGTTTTAAAAATGATCTGTTTTTGGGCGCCTGGGTGGCTCAGATGTTTAAGCGTCTGCCTTCGGCTCAGGGCATGATCCCAGGGTCCTGGGATCGAGTCCCACATCGGGCTCCCTGCTCCTTGGGAGCCTGCTTCTCCCTCTGCCTCTCTCTCTCTCTCTCTCTCTGTCTCTCATGAATAAATAAATAAAATTTTAAAATAAATAAATAAATAAATAAATAAAAATTAAAAAAATAAAAATAAAAATGATCTGTTTCAGGAGTACCTGGGTGGCTCAGTCGGTTAAGTGGCCAACTCTTGATTTCGGCTCAGGTCAGGATCTCAGGGTCATGAGATCGAGCCCTGCATGAGGCTCCGCACTCAGATCAGAGTCTGCTTGAGGATTCTCTTTCCCTCTCCCTCTGCCCCTCCCCCGCTAAAATAAAGAAATAAATCTTTTTTAAAAATTATCTGTTTCGGGGAGCCTGGGCAGCTCAGTCATTAAGCGTCTGCCTTCAGCTCAGATCATGATTCTAGGGTCCTGGGATCGAGCCCTGCATCGGGCTCCCAGCTCAACGGGAAGCCTGCTTCTCCCTCTCCCACTCCTCCTGTTTGTGTTCCCTCTCTCGCTGTGTCTCTCTCTGTCAAATAAATAAATAAAATCTTTAAAAAAAATAAAAAATTATCTGTTTCAGTGTCTCTTTCCACCACGAAAATCACTTGAGAACAGGAACCAGGTCTTGCTCATGTTTGTATGCTTAGCACCTAGCATATATAATGTACTCAATAAATATTTATTTTTTATGTTTGCCCACTCTGACCCCATAGCACGTTACCAGGCCTATAGAGTACGTCTTCAATAAATATCTGATGAATATACAAAGGAATTATTGATTTAGTAATTTATTGAACAGGTACAAGGAAACGAGAATTTGAGATAACTGATAGTTTTCATATAAGTGACTGAGAGAATGGCGATGTCATTAAATGAGAATGGAAGCCTGAAGAAACTAGTTTCAAGATAAATATAATGCAGTTGCTTTCCCAGGAGTTACTTTGGGAGGTATGACAAGACATCCCTTCACAGCTTTCTGGAAGATACTGGATCAGGTCAGCAGTTTCAGAGAGCACTGAGGGCTAGATGAATCTATTTAGAAATCATAATTGAAAATACAATGATGTGGCAAGAATCACTAAGAAAGTGCTAAATGGGGGGAGAAGAAAGAAAAGGACAGAATCTTGAGAAATGTCTGCATTTAAGGGGAAGGAAGTAGAGGGGTTCCCAGTAAAAGAATCTGAGTAGAAGCCTCCTAAAACTAGAAAACCAATCCTGATGATATATTATGAAGTCTAAGATAAAAAGTTGTAAAAAAAGGAGTCAATTGTTGTGAAGTGATCTAGTAAAAAGACTGTTGAAAGAGAAAAAGCCACCAGATTTGTTCTTTGAAAAACAGTTTTAATAGGCATGTCTTTTAAAATTGATTATTGTTTTCTAGAAGTTTGGCAGACAAGGGAGAGAGAGGAGATGGTAATGTAAAGGTGATGGTAAAAGGTTTGTTTTTTAATTTAAAAAGTACATGCCTATTAGAAGAAATGAAAACATTCAGAAGTATATAAATTAAATTATAAAAGCTATTCCCTCACTCACTCTATTTCTGCTTCTTCTCAGGTTTGGTATGTATTCATCCAGAACTTTAAAAATATTTGTTATGTATTTTTGTTTTTACAAAAATAAGGTCACGTTATACATTCTATTATTGCAAATTGCTTGCCTGCTTGCCTGCTTGCTTGCTTGCTTGCTTGCTTGCTTTCTCTCTCTCTTTTCCTTTCCTTCCTTCCTTCCTTCCTTATTAGTATGTCATGAGGTTTCTCCACAATAGTGTAGAGAACTACCTCATTCTTTTCAGTGACTGAATAGCGTTCCTTATAATGGATGTATTAGTTTCTTTTCTTTACTCATTCTTCTCTTGAATATTTGCCTTCAGTTTTCCCCTGTTACAAATAATTCTGCAATGACTGTCCTTGAACAAATCTTCTCATGCTGTTGTTAACGTAATTCCATAGGATAACTTCTTAAAAGCAGAATTGTTAGGAGGTAGGTGCATTTTTATTTTGTGTTGACAAATCACTCATCAGAAGGTTATACCAGTTTGCAGTTCCTCTAGTAATGTCTTACAGTGCTCTTGTCCCTGCACCCTACCCTCACTGACACAGAGTATTATACTTTCCCACTTAAGGGAAGAGTTCCTGGTTTTAGGCTTAGGTTTTGATTTTTAATGAAAAGCCTGATCTTGTTCATAATCCTAGGAAAGAATCCAGTTGAGAGGAAGAGTTTGTAAATTATAAGAAAAGGAGATAATTGACAGACCATAATCACAGAGGGCATAGGTCAGTAATATCAAGAATATGAAAAAAGGTGTGATTTTCTTCTGAGACATTAACAGAGGAATAGTAGATAGGTAAAGATGGAAATAAGAAATTTTTTGTAGTCATCTTTATTTTAAAGAAATTAGAAGCAAGTCCCCTGTTGAGATAGAGATTGGGTTTATTTGAGAGAGAGAGCAAGCACGGGAGCACAAGCACTCTCTCTCTCTCAAATAAATAAAATCTTTAAAAAAAGAAAAAGAACAAGCAGAGATGGGGGCACCTGGGTGGCTCAGTCGGTTAAGTGTCTGACTCTTGATTTGCACTCAGGTTGTGATCTCAGGGTCATAGGATCAATCAAGCCCCACTGTGGGCTCCATGCTCTGTGGGGAGTCTGCTTGGGATTCTTTCTTTCCCTCTCCCTCTGCCCCTCCCCACACCCCAACTCACACATGCTCTCTCTCTCTCTCTAAAAAGAAAGAAAGAAAGAACAAGCAGAGATGTAGTCCTTGGATTTGCCTGCATCTGGAGCTTCTGGGTTAAAGTAAATTTATCTTACATTCAAAGTGAGGTAGTTTTATTCTCTTACTTTTCCTGTCCCATGAATAGAAGTTATATGAGCTAAGATACACATCCACTGGTGAGACTACATGGGTAAGTGATTCCTGAGTTCTGGTAAAAAAAATTTTAAGAGTATAAATTTAATACACTGCATTATGCCCATATAAAGCCATACTGTTAATAGTTTTTGTTTCTCTATATCATTCCTAACATAAAGCCATTTAATTTCTTGGTTTTTATTAGTAAATTATTATATGAGCAAACATTATTAAAAATTCTGATCAACATAAACCAGAAGCCCAATGACTTGGATGGGTTTACATGATTTGAATCCTGGTCAAGAGTCCACGGAGATTAATAATACTCTGTCAACTTATTCTTATCCAGAGATTACCTCTGCTTCTGGGGAGTTTAAACATCTTAATATTTAGACTCTACTTTTTGGGTAAATGTTTTCTCTCTCTCTTTTTTTTTTCACTTTAACTCTCACATTGTTTTGGGGCATGGTGAAGACAAAACCAAAGTGTCATGAGTTTGTAGTGAATTTAAATTTAAAGGAAGAGGCTGGTAGAATAGTAAGGAACATACATCATTGGGACGCTTCTCCCTAAAAAATAAAATGTTATAAGAGGAAATGTGTTAATGGTGGGAACACAGTTTATTAGAGAGAAAAACATATGTACGTGTGTTTATTTTCATTAAAATGCCTTTTACTCCATACTTGCCTTGTTGACTTTATAATGAAATTATGTGAGGACAGAGACTGGTTATTCCAGGTGCACCATTGTACTGCTCCGTACATACTCTGGGAACATAATAAATACTGTAACAATTGAAAATGAGAAACACAAATGCATTTTGAAGCAAATTGGTGATATTTTAATCCCTAATGTTCAATTTTAGTACTTGGAAACATTTTAGTTATGCAAGTCTTGTTTTAGCATACTTTTTATTTCTACAGATATTCTGGTTCTTAGTCATACTCTGTGGCTTTATTAGCAGCTTCATGGGTCTGAGTCTCATTTCCCCAACTCCAAGTATTTGAGGATAAAGACCATTTCTTCTCTAAAATTATTGTGGCAAGATACAAAATAGACCTTCGGTAAATTATTCAAATTATACTTCAATAAAACAATAAGAGAAAGAAAGTTCTTACTGCCAATGAATTGCATTTCAACCATGCTGAATTTATATGCCTTTATGTGATCATGCACCCCCCCATCTATGCTCTCTACAGCTAATTCATGTTTATTCTTTTCAGTTTATTGAAGTCAAAATGTGATGGCTGGCTGCTGGGAGGATCATCGTCCATCAAAAAGTACCAAGAGTCCACTAACAGCAATGAGACTAGAAGGGAGAAGAAGACAGTTGGGTTTCAATCACATACAGAAGATGATACCCTATGGACATGTCAAAAGAAAGATACATATCAACCCCAAAGAGGTAAGCTTAGTATCTATAAGTAGCAAAAGGAGAAGCTGTTCCAGGGCCAGTGGGTGCTGGTGGGTGCCAGCCATGAACTCCAGATGATTTCTACAACCCTGAACAAGAGTTAAGTATATTACCAACTGACATGTGTCTGCAAGGCCACAGGTGGCACATCTGCTAGATCACTGAATTGCATCAGCATTTCTCTTAGAATACTCTTAGAAAAAACTGTTTGATTTGTCCCTCTTTGCAAACAGCAAACTGTAAGCCTGATTTAACAGTAAGTATGGTTATAGGCATAGAATAATGTTCAAAGTGAGTAAAAAGGACAGGAAATTGAATGTAAATTTCTGCTGGGAGAGTAAACTCTAACAACTACAGTTAATTCTCAATTAACTAGAAATATGGGAAGGGTAAAGGAGAGGTCATAGACAATTCTACATTGTAGCTAAAACAAAATTTCATAAAGCCTGAAACATACATTGCACAGCAGCCTTTTAAGTGCCAGTAATTCTTCCTACTTTAGATGTCTCAGATTTTTTTAAAAGATTGTATTTTTAAGTAAACTCTACACCCACCGTGGGGCCTGAACTCACAACCTCGAGATCGAGTCACACGCTCCACCAACTGAGCCAGCCAGGCACCCAGATGTCACAGATATTTTAAAAGAAAATCAATTATAAAATAACTGTGTGAAATGTTGAGCGAAGTGGTCAAAATTTAATTGTGTTTGGGCGCCTGGGTGGCTCAGTTGGTTAAGCCACTGCCTTCGGCTCAGGTCATGATCCTGGAGTCCCGGGATCGAG